ATTGGAAAATGGTAAAAATAATAAGTTTTGGGGGTGTGTGTGAATCTTACGAGTGATGAAAGAATATATTTGACAATTGAGAGTTGAGAATTGAAACAACTTATAAATTCATAATGTTCTGCTTAATTCTTCACATACATGGATGGATTTAGGGGGGGCTGGACCGGGTTGTCCATTTAATTTTTTTAGTAGAATATGTAAAAAAAAAAAAAATTTCTTTTGTAAATTTTTTTTTACGTATTAGCCTGATCTGTAATCCGGTTCTGGATTCGTCCCTATTCAAATACACACATCGATTTTACATTGAAAAAATGGATTTTAATTTTTGTATTGTGATTTTGAAACTGTGCGTATATTTGTTATTATATTTCAATCCCAAGATAAAAAGTCAGGTTAACTAGTTAAATCTTGTTACTTTACTTGATTGACTCGCCACCACTTAGGTAATTAGCATTGCTTTTTTGTGTGTTTATTGAGTTTTAGTTTTGTTTGAGGACAAATAAAGATTCAAGTTTGGGGGTGTGATAAATGTAGTTTTTATATTTATTCGAGGCCCTAAATGATGATATTTTATTGTCCTTTCGATAAATTTCTATCTAATTTATGTTATATTGCATTTTTGTAGGTAAAACTTTATGTTTGATGAAGAATTGGAGAAAAGAAGTAAACATTGGCGAAAAATGACACTATTCAAATTTTAGGAATTAAAGTGCAAATACTCAAAAGTTGTGCCGAAACTCACGATGAAGATTCGAGAATGGTGGGGGTCAAATGGAGGCAATTAGAAGTCAAAAGGAGTGAAATATGACCAAAATATTTTCACAAATCAATTTTCAACGGTACAAGAATGTTTCAGATTTTCACCTGGAGATTGAGACCCACTGTTGGTCTAGTAAACATTCAAATTTCTCACCTGGATATTGAGACCCACTGTTGGTCTAGTAAACATTCAAATTTCTCATATGAGTACTCATGAATGTTAAATTGCATAATAATTTTATAATTAATTTCTCATATGAAGTTGATATATTATCATTGTCACGAATATATTGGAGTTCATATATTATAAAATTAGTATGATCGTTCAAAGGTTGGTCAATTAATTTTATCAATCGTGAATGTAATTTTGGTTAATTAATATACTTAATTAGATGTGCTTAATTTATTGAATTTAAAGGCAGAAGTGTTATATGTAACTGCCAATTTAGTGAAACAAAAGTAGCATAATTATATATGTTTAATGTTGTATAACGTTGTTGCATCAGTTAAAAGTAGAACTTCGATATACACTTTTATCCACTTTTTAATCATATTTTATAGGATTCATCAACTTTTTTATCAACTTTATTTGCTAAAAATTTACATTAAACATGCTTTTAATATAATTACAGAAAAGTTCAAAAGCGTTTGCAAATCAAGACTCCAGGTACCCTTTTCTTTCCAAGTATGAAATCACTATTTCGGCCAAATTTGTTGCAGAATCAGACATCCCTCCTTGTTGATGCAATACTATCTGCAAGACACAGGGTGAACAACATCAGAAAATTAAGAAATTTGAAAAAAAGAAACAAGGAGAAGTGAAAGCACAAAACATAGGCAGAGTAAACACTAAAGACTTGTTCTCTTTACCGTTTTCAAGTCGTTTTCTATTTTCAATTTTCTAAAACAGTGAAAACGTATTTGCCTTCCTATTTTCGAAAATGCGTTTTTGAAAACAAATTAAATTTACAAAGAAAACCCAAAATGACAAATTGGGTGTTTTTAGTTATAATCAAGCCAAAAATTTTAAAACGCGTTTTGGGTGTTTTCAATCACCGCCAACCACCACCGAGAGAGAGAGGGGAGGGGAAAGTAAACATGTTTTCCTTTTTTTTTTTTTTTTAAACAATTTTTTAAAATGTCAAAAAGAACACATTTTCAACAATCATGGACACTCAAAACACAAAACTCAAAATGGACACTCAAAACACAAAACTGAAACACAAAGAGAACATCCCCTAAATTCTTCAGCAATTTTTCAAGATCGAGATCGAACCAGATTTTTTATTCGTCTTAAAAAGAATCTTGGAAATCAGTAATCTTCTAAACAAAGGGTTGTCGCCAAAAACCAACTAACAAGATACAAGACACCAATACTCTATAAAACAAGTGTAGTCATAATCATTTCTTGCATTAGGAGAAGATAAGATCTGTTTTAAGGATATGGTTGTTGAATGGGTTCAGCAAGATACTTCTTCCTTTCCGTGATGGGAGTACATACCTCAGGATTTAATGGTGGCTCATATGGATCATCAACACCTGTAAAACCTGAAAAAAGAGCAACTAAATTGGTTGGTTTAAATGGAAAACTTAAATGCCAGAGAAGATTGAAGCTGGAAGGGTGAGTTTACGCAATGGAACATTTAACATGGGAGCGTGTACCATTAGAGGGATGTTCATTGCCACTTCTTATAGTACTGTTACCAGAGAGCTGGTTCATACTTCTTCACAGTGAAAATGAAGCAACAAGAATATTTTCATATTTGAATCCTAATACTAGTATCTGACGGTGAAAAGTGTCAGATTAGAAATTGTAGTCAAGAATTTCCTCAGACAACCAACAAGAAGAAAAAAATTGAGAAACTAAAATACTTGAACTGATCATCAATATAAACCCCAGAACCTCCAGTTCATGCAGCTCCTGCTCAGTGCCCTTATGGAGCAAGCGACTTATGTGTGAAATTCTGAATACATGTGGTTGATTGAAAAGAAATGGATGGTTTGATGTCCAACAAATTAGGACTGGGTATGTTATTTGCAGTCTTAAGCCTAATTAGTTGCTCTCATGCGCTCGCAGACCAAAGAAAAAAAAAGAAAAGGAAGTGCAGCAGATGCATGAAATAAATCCTCGCAAAAGGATATACTGGCTTCCTGGTAAATTTTCTCTATGGTTCCTCTTGCAGTGCCCCTTCGAATGGGTTTTGAAGATAAAAATCCTTTATTGGCCCCATAAACTGACCTAGGGAAATCCATAAACTGTAAGAAGCTCGGCTCGGCTTTTTTGTTGTCATAGGGAGGGATAGACCTTTCTAACGAATATCCAGTCATACCAGTATGGCCCCACTAGCAATCTACATTTTATATCCTCAGCAAAAATGGTTTTCAAACTCAGGCACAATCATCTATTAAAACAACTCAACTTACCTTTGATTTTTCCAGCTCGTGCAAGCTTGTATAATCCCTTTGGATCCCTAGTCTCGCACACTTGCAGAGGAACATCCATGAATACCTGCATATTTGACACTCTCAATCAATCATTTGCAATAAATACGAGGCTTCCACTTCAAGAACTCGGCTTTTATATATTCCAATAGCTAAGAAAATTAAAATCTTACATGTAAAATTCCAAAAGAAGAATACTGACCTCAATAAAATCTCCTTCTGGAAGTAATGCACGACAGGCATCACGATCCTTTCTGTAAGGTGATATCAAACTTGCAATACAAATAACTCCAGCATCTGAAAATAGCTTTGCCACCTCTCCTGTTCATCATAAGACAAAATTTGTAATGTATACAGGTTAACCTATACATGGAAAAGTCAGATTATTTAGAAAGTAGACTCAATTCAGGGACCAGGACAAAAAAACCAACCAATCCTTCTTATGTTCTCTGCTCGATCTTCAGCTTTAAAACCAAGGTCGCTGTTTAGACCGTGGCGAACATTATCACCATCAAGTATGTAGGTGAGCTTTCCTCTAGCATGTAAGCCACGACTTAAAGCACATGCCAAAGTACTTTTTCCTGAAATACACCACCACTTCCTTCAGACAATGAAATCATGAACTCAAGAGTAAAAAATGCCATACCGCGTTACGCACAAAAAGAGGGAAAAGGAACAAAATGAATTCCAAAGGCTAAACAGAGAAATAAGTAATTAACATTTTGTCATTCCAATAAGTTTTTGCAGAATGGCTTCATTAATGGTAGATCAAAAGCCATCCCCATAAAATTGTATTTAAATTAAAAAATTTAATTTTACATATATATATAAATTTGATGTACTTTGTGGACCAACCTAATTCATGTAGGATCGACGACAAATAAAAGAAGTGCTTTCCCACTACTAGGATTTTTCAGGCTTGGTCATTCTTCAAAATTTTATTTCTAGTCCTGGTATAAAAATAACTGATGCAGCATATGATGATATGCTTCCACATAACTCATAGAACCTATCTCAGGAGACTTTGTATTGCCATCGGTAAGTCACAATGGCCAAATTGATGAGAATCCATTTTCGTGTATCAATCTTCCAGAGAAACAGATCATATATAGTCAACAACTGTTCAAACCTGAGAAAAATGTTTTAGTTCCTCTTTCCACAGTTGACTCTTGATTGGAAAGACATTCAATATCTAGGTTTAAATCTGATAATGTTACTCTGACTACCTGCCATAAGCACAGAATCTATTCACGAAGATGCAAGGGTTACTTTCATCTGAGAGCCACATTCAAGTCTAGAAAATTTTAAGTTAAAAAAAATAAAAAATCCTTTCTACTTGTATATGTGCATAACGTTCAAGGTTCTTAAACAAAACCTGCCTTCACAAGAAAATGACCACAACAGGATCATATCTGTATGACACAAAACATGTGACTGGCAGCTTGTTTAAAATTTTTGAAAAGTTTCTTCTTGGTTGTAGAAAATATAACGGTTCTCTTTTTTTGCACAACAACAAAAACTATGTGTTTCTCCCTATAAATTTCAGGATACAGCATGACAAAGGTGTTTAGAGCTCCAGTTAAACCAAGTAAGAGTCACTATCGCACACCATCCGTACAAGATCAAACAGAATGACTATTTTCTTTCCAGGATTTTCATTTTCTATTTTCTTATAGTGCCTCTAAGGAAGCAACAAAGAATGAAATGTAGCAATTTACATAATGCAGATACATCCAATCAAATATTCCCCAGAAAAATGGTCTTAGTTCAAGCTGTAGTTGTAGAAGTACATAACTCACGGCATTTCCTAATACTCAGAATATTACCATATAATACTGCATCAAGAACCAACTGGATACAATTATTCTAATCTAAATACAATTATCTAAAACTATGAAGTCTTTAGAATTTTTGTTGATAGATTGATATCATAATAGTCTTAGCTTTGGTTTTATTTTTTCCCCCCTAATCACACTTACAGTTGAACTCCTTTTGAAATTGCTCACTTCTGAAATGGGCTTTGTGGAAAATATGGTAATAACAGAATAACAATTGATTTGTGTAGCTAAATCTAGCAAATTAAGGGCCTGCTTGGGAGTTTGGGATACTGGTTATGGGGGTTTAAAAGTATGCTTTAGAAGGGTCTGGTTTTGGGTGGTGTTTAGTAGATTAAAGCAATTCATTCCATGCTTGATAGTTTATTATTCTGTGATTCTAAAACTATTTTAAAATAATGAAATTACATATATGCCCATATGCAATAAGGTAGATATGTGTAAACGATATGGAGTAAACATTAAGTCACTCCTTACAATTTAGCCCATGTTTGTCCACCATTATTCAATGAAAATGAGTTTTGGAATAGTGAATTTTTAGAGAATATGTGGTTAAAAAGTAGGAAAAAGTTCGAGTTTAAGCACAAAATATTTTATTGTGAAAATGTGTGGTTGAAAATGAGTTGATAAAAGTTTTGAAATAATGGTAGACAAACAGAGTGTTAATCTGGCTTTACATAGTTAATCAATTTTTATTATGTATGGACTAACCTTCAGACTAATTATTGTGGTTTTGAATAAACGCTAATTATTTCCTATTGGATTATAAGGTGAAGAAAAACGAATAAAATTGTAAAGCTAATTTCCATGAGTGAGTACAAGCTTTTCTGCTAACTACTTCTTAAATGATGACATCCAAATTTTGTTGGTGAAATTTTTCAATTTATAATTTTTTAATTCACATGTGATATTTTTTTTTATAATGTAATTTTGTTGCATATAAGTTTATTTTCAACTTAAAGTAATATATTTATTTATAGTTAAATTTTTAGTTATCGGATATTTTTTAACTTATAAGTAAATTTTACAGTTACAAGTCAATTTTGTACTTATAAGTAATTTTTTACTTATAAATAACTTTTTATATTTTATAAGTGAATGCAAGTGTTATTAATTGTATTTTTTTTTTTACTTTACACGCAATTTTTTCGTTTATAAGTAATTTTTTAATTATTGTATTTCTTATTTGTAAGAAATTAGTTTTACATATTATTGATTTTTTTGATTCTTTACTTCTTAAAACTGACCTCCATTAGCTTTAAACAAAATATGTGGGTTGGAGAGATGTAAAATTGGAAAAAAATTTGAAAAGAATAAAAATTCATCGATTTGGTGGGCTGGTTTGGGTATTTTTTTAAACCACCCAATGTAAGTGCTCCAAAAACTATTTTCCCAAGAGCAGTGCTTGGTGTGCAGGAAAAACTGTCGAGGGATTTATAGGGTAATTTGGCATTTTTTTTAATTGGGAGATGGCAAAAGATGGCAATGATACAGGTGCTGTCAGCGCAGCACCTGTAATTTCCCGTATCAGCCCCGTAGTTATCACCTTGTACTCTTTTCCAAATATCTCCCAAACAATGCTATCCAAAAACTATCAAAATCAGTAACAAAAAAAATCATAAAACACGCCCAGAGAGTATAATACAAACCTGAACCGCTAAGGCCAGTAATCCAAATGACACAACCCTTCTGTCCAAGCAGCTGTTGTCTGTCACTCTTCTCCACAATACATTTGTGCCAAAAAATATTCGTCGAATTTCCAATTGTAGACATCGGGGGCATATTTTTGCCTGTTAAAATCAAATTTCCAGGATTCATCACAAAATTCTCCAATAGAAATTAAAAATTGGGAGAAAACATCAAGATTCATTAATAAGGTACCGGAAAAATCATCACGTTCATTTGTAATGAAATCGTCGCCGGAATTGCATCCGGATTGCCAGAAACTGCCCGCATTGCCATTGATGGGTGACGTCGTTTTGGAAGACTCCATTGCCTTAATTGGCGCCAAAATGCTCCTTTTGACCTCAACACCGCAAATCCCCAAATTTCTTCTTCCTTTATAATTTAACGCCGACAGCTTTAACTGCCTCGATTCGCCATATAATGATTGAGAAAAATCAAAATCCGCCGGGGTATAAAAATTCAACTGTAGACTTGGAATCCCTGTCATTTTCTATTCATTAAAAATGAATAATTTTAACAAGTAAAAATTTTAACGAAGCACGTGTATATCTATAATGGTGATACCTAAGAGGTTCTTATGAAATAAATTCGATCCAACTATGGAATTTATCGTAAAAATGAAGAAATGCCAAGTGATGTTAATCTAACAACAGGTAGATTGATGTAGTGCGAGACAATTGGGATCCCACTCTCCCAACATGGCTTACATGCAAAGAAAGAGAGATAATGGCACTCACAGTCAGCAAATATTGCGCTTCAGATATCTGATTTGTCATTGGTTTTGATTGGAGTAGGATCACTGGTTTTTGTGTCAGAGATGATCCCATTGGTCCTTTTTCTCATTGAATAATACTATTATACTCAATGTGTTAGATTTTTATCCCATTCGAATAATTCTATGTTAAGAATGGATTCTATATATATATATATATTTTTTTGTTTGATTGTTTCGAATAACATATCTCACTAGTTATTTTTGGCACTGTATGGGTGGATAAATAAACTTGACCATTGAATTATTTATATGACTTCTGGAATAAAATGACTTTATATATTTAGATGTGTCTTAAATGGAGTTGCTTTACCTTTAAAATAGCACTAAGAAGTGGATTTTGGGCCATTATATGGAGGGTACGTGGCGTCATCTGCGGGCTAAAGTTTCTCCTAGGCGTCAATCAATCAATCCTTAGGTGGGCGAGCATTTAATGTCCCCTGTCAAGTAGATTCGTGACTTGACTATTTGGTGTTGGTTGCACAAACGCTACATCAATCAATTGTATAAAGATTTTATTTTAGGAGTAAAGCTATGGGTACAGATTTATTCCACAGAAATGTTACAGGAATTTAAAATGTTATGACGTGGAAAAAGTGTCAAAAAATTAAAATTGAAAAAGACGGATAACAAAATGTAAAATCAGGAAAGGCAAAAACTGTACACACCATTTCCCCTCATTTCCCCCACTCAAAACCTGCCCATCTCCGACCAAAATCTGATGAACCAAATTGCGGGCAACTCCAAAATCTGGTGAAAAGGAAAGTCGACCGCATTGTTGTCGACAACCATAATTTCTGTGGATTAAATCTGACCCTAAATGGCAGACAAAGGTATGTTCTTTCTTGGTTTCTAAATTGATTATCTATTTCCGGAAGCAATAACTATGTTTTCAGATTTAGCTTTAATTCATTGGTTTTAACTGAAAGTTTCCTCAAACATAGTCGTGGGTGTTCCACCAGTTAAATTTAATAAATTTGATTGTGCGTAATATATATTGTGTTCGGCCAAGACAAGTGTGGTGACTAAGTAGTAGAGGAATGATTGGTAATTTATAATCTTTCAAGATACTAGGACTAGAGCAAGCATTTAAACAAAGCTATTCTTAATTTTTTTTGTCTTTCAAGAGTTGTAATCTTTGG